CATTTAATATTAGTTACATTTTCATACTACTCACAATTTAATATACTCACATTTTAATTTACTTACATATCAGTTACTTTTTCATAGTAGTCACATGTATGTTTAGTCATTTATTAAATTTTAAAAATGTTAAACTCTAGGAAATTATTTGATTTGGGTAGTCTGTCACGCAAGGAGGTTTTGAATTCCCAAACTTCTTCACGGCATCGTGGTAAACATCAGGTAGGAGCAACATCTTTGTCCCAAGCCCATTATACAATTGATGATGGGGCGATGAAAGTTGGCCCCAGAGATGTGATGTCGGATGAACAAACGGCGCAACGTACTATTGCCACAACACCACACACGATTTCTAAAGAAAGATACCATTTCCGAAATATAGGAAGAGTTGGGGGACGATGACGCCGAGGAGGAGCCCCGGGTGGAGGACAAGCAAGAAGGCGGAGATACCCTGACGAATATCAAGGGAGTGGCACCGGTTCATCCGCACAACCCGACCAGGGTAAGCTTCAAATAACATTATATTCTCACCTTTTTAAATTTCTTTTTGACAATGTAATGAATCTTTTGGGCGTCAAGTGATACACACAATGCCAATATTATCCTTAAATATCGTGCATTGGATGTTGTGAGGGTATGGCACAGAGAGTAGGCAGTTGAACTCGAGATACCACATGGAGGTAGCGGGGACAAAATGCAAGAGAACACAAACACAAATTTGGTTATAATGATGAATAACATTTGAAAGTTATGTCTGAATTCCGAATGTATAGGATGAACCGGAGCCACTCCCTTAATATAATTTGATCAATAAGATGTTTGCTATTATTTTAATATATGCTACTATTAATATTGTTGTTGTACCTAGATTGTGTGAATCATGTGATCCTTTGAATTTGATGGGTAGATTTTTTCATCAACGTTGTGTATGTTAAAAAAAATTGTTGATTTAAAAAATAAATAATGTGAAGGTAACGTCTTCCTTAAAACTCTATAATATAGAGTTGTTTTTAACATCTTCATACTAATGAGTTTCGAGGAGGATGTTACCTCATACCAAGGGCGTAGCTAGGGGGTGCCCGAACGTGGCCTCATCCCAACCCAAATTTAAAAAATGTCTATATTTTTAATGTAAAAAATCTGTGTAAATTTTTTCCAAAAATATTCTTTATACCGGCCATGTCTGGCCCAATCCGGCCTAGTGTCCTGACTCTGCCCCTGCCTCATACTATGTTTTCGCATACTAAGTTATGCAAACTAATGTGTTTGAAGAAAACTTATAAAAGCTTTCAAAAAATATATGCTTCGGGTGTGGCCTTGTTATTTATACGTCATAAACTACCCTTGCAAACATCTTCTTATACACTTTTTGGTAATCATATAAAAATATATGCACCAATATTTTATTTCATTCATATTGCCTAGGGTTCTTTGTTGGACAAATTTTATAAGACAAATTCAAACCAAAATCTTCCAACTCAAAAGAAGTTGTTGATTTAAAAAAATAATGTGTTTGAAGAAAACTTATAAAGGCTTTCAAAATATATATGCTTCCGGTGTGGACTTGTTATTTATAGGTTCCGCATTATAAAGTATCATCGCATTATGACGGTTAGAATGGTTTGACTGAGGAGAGAAATAGGGGCACATCTATGTGTTTTGCAATCATTTTCATTTTCATTTACCTCAGTGCCGCAAAGGCTCCCACCTACGGTGGGGTAAGGGGGGATCGGATGTACGCAGTCTTACCCCTGTACTAAAGCACAGAGAGACTATTTCCGGATGATCCATAGTGAAAATCCCGTCCAAAATCGCATGGACTAACTGCTGCTTCATAACAAAGAAGCGCAGACAGTTTAGTGAGTCATTTTGCTTTATTCCATCATAATCTCAAGGCAAAAAATAATGAATCTTTGGCTCCTTTGCGAATGATGGAAAAATCTATGTGTTTTGCAATAATAAAAAATAATGTTAAAGCAATTTTTTTTAGAACAATGAAGGGTAGTGGCGAGCATTGTTATTTAAATACGGTACGGGAATCAAACGAAGTTTAATACGTAAACATTTTCTTCAGGACATAAATGAAAAAATGGTCTAAAATTCGTTGAAAAAAAACGTTGACTTTTAAAAACATATAAATACGTAAACTTGTATAAAACGTTATCTGTTACAAAATTTCGAACAAAAAATACGGAATATTATTTTGAACAATTAAATTATACTACCTTCGTCCCGGTGGACTTTGCCAAGTGCAAAGTAGGTGAGAAATAAGAAATGTAAAAACTGTGTGGTTGAGATTTGTGCAGAGGAGAGAGAAATGTGCATAACCACAAATCAATTACTTTAATAGGAAAGTAGCAAAGTTTTTTGGGACAACTAAAAAGGGAAAGTTAGCAAAGCTCAATGGGACAGGGGGAGTATATTTTACAAAATAACATATATAGTAAAAAGAAATACGGAGTAAATGTATACTGATATTCAAGTACCAAGTTCCATTACTACATAAAAGAATAATTTGTAGTTTCACAAATCGATGTCAAAAATAAAAAAACGTAATCAAGTCCAACACATAATTTTGCAAAATAATGTCAAAAATAAGGCATAATAACAATAGAAGGAGACTACGTTAAAATAAGTATCTTGATATGATCATCAAAGAACACTCAAGTTAAACTCATCATTTTCATCAAGATGACGGATGACATATGAGAAAAGTTGTGCTACTGCTACGCTTATTATTGTTCATGTGTAAAAATTTATACTAAAAAATGTCAGGTTTAGAAAAACTTTAATTTTGATATAAAAAGTAAAACTCAAATGTGCATTAAGTGAAATTGAAAAGTGCAGAATAAAAAGCAAAAAAGTTACACCGCATCGTAGTTTTTATTCTGCACGTTTCAATTTCACATAGTGCACATTTCAGTTTCACTTGATGCACGATTCAGCTTCACATAATATCACTATGTCTTACCTTTTGTGCTGCACATTTCGATTCCACCTAATGCACATTTCAGTTTCACTTAATGCACGTTCAATTTCACATAATACAATCTAACGGTCGAGATTCATTCTCATTTCTCTCCTAAGATCATTTTCTCACTTGAATCTAGTTATACACACACAGATAAAACTAATAATTTTAGGCCTCTTTCATTTGAGGTGCTTCCGAATCGATTTTTTCGATGAAATTTTGTGAGCATGTTCTCAATGAATGCTAGACTATGCCTTACCCAATTTCAGTTTAAAATTCAATCGAGAAGTTAAATAAATAAATGTTGAAAACTGTACACACACACACACACACACACACATATATATATATAATGCAGTTTTTTTTCAATAATTTATTCAAATGACTTCTCGTTGGAATTTTAATCTGAAATTTAGTGGAGATAATCTACACTCCATGAAGACATTGTCACAAAATTTCATAAAAATATTCGACCCGGAAGCACCTCAAATGAAAGAGGCCCAAAACTTGTATTTGGAGAACATTCTCCTATATATATAAAGCGCATTATTTGTAAATAATTTATTTAACTGTCTTCCCAAACGACTTTTAGCTGAAATTCGGTGGACATAAACTAGACTTGGTGAAGAACATGTTCAAACAGTTTCATCAAAAATTCCAACGGGAAGAACTCTAAATGGCTTTGGTCGGACGGCAGATTCTGTCAAGCCGGATATGAACTACCCTCACACACATATGGTGTGATTCCAATGAGAACAATGTTTAACGTGAGAACATGAGAACATTCAAATTTAATCCAATGTGATGTACAATAGAGGTCGTGTGATGCACTTTTAACACTGTTCAAATCAAACCAATATTAAGCAATTGTGGTGACATTTTGATGAATATTATGCTTAACTTGAAAAAGTGCAATAGACGAGTCTCATTCTATAATTTCTGTCAATTGAGTTAGAAAAGTAACTTCAATTTTACCTATTGATTATAATCCTTTTCGCTTTGTAACCCCGGAAACATAATAACCCCGGAGTGTCACTGATCGTTGTTCAATGTAATGCATATTTTCTATTTTCTCAAAACAGGTGGACAACTAAAAATGAACGACTCAAAAGTATTGTGATTTCAACCGTGCCAATTTTAATTAGCACAATAGAAATTGAGTATTACTCCCTCCGCCTCGTTGGAATGTTCCCGTTCACTATTCATTGGTCAACTTAGGTCACTTCTAATCTTTTACTTTATATATCAATTTTTCATCAAATTGAACTTTTCTTGATCAGGCTTTGTAGTGGTTTTAATGTAGTTTCTGAATATGTAAATTTTATTTACTAAAAATAAGCGGAGTGTGAACAAGGATCGAGTTGCTTTATCGTCAGCCAAGTATCGTATACCGAACGGGAACATTCCAACGGGACAGATGGGAGTATTTCTTCTTCTTTTCAAATGATTCTTCTAAAAAATGACTTATGTTATCGGTTTTTTTTGTATGAGATAATGTTTGAAAATGTATACATCATACTTATACTTTTTGCATAATTATCATCGTATATAAAGTTGATATTTTGTTTTGTTATACTCCGTAATTTTTAAGTAGTTTTTTTGAAAGGAACTTTTAACTAGTTAATCCATAACAACTTATAAAAATGTGTTAAACTTTTTTTTGCTGCATTGATTTGGAAAACACCAACATGTTACTTCATCATCCATATGGTGATTCCTCGAATAATACTCTCGTATTATTCGATTAATTCGTGATGTCTGTTGTACTTGAGTTTCACAGCAAATCATCCTTTCAAAAAAAGAGTTTTACAACAAATCATGAAATATTTTTTTAAAATTAAATTCTATCAATATTACACTTTTTGAAATGTGACGACAAAAATATTTCTTGATACTCCGTAATTATTACCAGGGCCGGCCCTAGGCCTGCCCAGTCCAACCGCACGGGGCCCGGTTTTTTAAAGGGTCCAAAAAAATAAAAAATTAATATTAAATAAAACCCATTAATTTTTAGCCCAAATCTCTTTCCCCAAAATCCCCTGCTCCACGACAACACCCCTCAGGTTCCGCTATTCCCCTGCGCAGCAAGCCACGCCTAAGGGCCAAGGCGATTCTGTCGATTCAGACCTCCACAGCTCCGCCGCCTCCGCGACTCCAGTTGAACCGCACACCGCACACCGCACGCCTGTACGCCGCCGCCTGCAGTCAACCAGCCGCCCGCCTCCCTCACTACCTCAGACCCTCAAGTTCCCTGCTCGGTTGCTCCCGCCTGGCCGCCTCTGGTCCTCCCTCAGTCCAGTCGTCCGGTGGACTTCTGGTCAGTCCACTGCACCCAGTTTCTTTTATTCATTTAGTTGCTAATTTGCTAATTCTTGTGAACTTTTGATTTATTGAATTGATGAATTGTTTGTTGAATTCTTGTAATTTGCTTATTTTCAGATTTAATGTTTGTTGAATTGTTGTATTGTCGTTATTTGTTGATTTTTTGCAGTTAAAGTAAATCATTATTTGAATTGATAATACAATGTCTAATTTTGTAAATGTGTTTAGCAATTAAAATTTAAGAAAGTGGTATAAATATATTACTCCCTCCGTCCCTATATAAAAGTATCCATTCATTTTACACACATCTTAAGAAAGTGGGTTTGATTGGTACTGTTTGGACACTGTTTGGACACTGTTTGGCACTGTTTGGCACTGTTTTGCACTGTTTTGCACTGTTTTGTTTGCCAAAAAAGGAAAGGGAACTTTTATTTAGGGACGGCCCGAAAAGGAAACATATGCTTTTATTTAGGGACGGAGGGAGTATTAGGTAACTTGAGGTTGATAAATTATAGGGGAAAATAATTAAAATACCCCAAACTTTGAAGGGGTGTGAGATAAACGCCCCGAACTTTCATATGTAAGTTAAATACCCCAAACTTTATATAAAAAGTTATTTTAACACCATGGTTATGTATTATTTCTTTCAAAAATGTAAATTTATGGTGTTAATTGCATAATTTAAAATAGCAAATTGAAAACATTAGAATTATATATAGTGGTGGGTAATACTATTTATTTTACAATGGAAGCTTAGAATGTTAATTGTATTTTTATGAATGCTAAAAATTATCAAATTATGAAATAAACACCAAAAGTTAATATTTTTGAAAGAAATAATACATGACCATGGTGCTAAAATATTTTTTTTGTAAAGTTTGGGGTATTTAAATTACATATGCAAGTTTGGGGTGTTTATCTCACACCCCGTCAAAGTTTGAGGTATTTTAATTATTTTCCCCTAAATTATAATTATACACTAGTATAGTCATTCATGTTTTCACCCTAATTTTAAACTGAATATTAATTTAAAATTTATAAACATGTACATGATTAGAGGAGAATTTCAATAATTGTTAATAATGTTTCCATATAAACTGTAAATTAATAATGACTTTTTTCATTTTAATCATTTCGTTTATTAGTAACCTGTATTTTAAGACAATTTGCTTGTGTTGCAACTTGAAAAAAGACCCAAATTTTATTGTTGCATAGGGTCTCCGTTTTCTCGGGACTGGCCCTGATTATTACTAATTATAATTGTATTCAAATTTGCATCATAGTAATTACATTTAAGTCACTACGATGTAAGTTTTGAATATAATTATACGCAGTATTCACTAACAGTTAAGATTTGTGTCTTTTTAATTTTTTTATTAGTAATATTTATAGAAAAAACACCTATTTTTATCAAGATCATTAGAATTAATTGGAGCAGAACTATTTTAGCTTAAAAAACTCCGTAATGACCGATAACTATCGTCCATATGGTCTAGGAATTCGAATTGGGAGAGACGCTGTGCTACTGGCATAGAGCGAATTCAACCACCTGATCGGAAGTCGGAACTTTCAACAATTTCTTAACTGAGGGTAAAGAAAGATGCTGTTTCAGGTGGGCGGGCAGGGGACTCGTCCCACCTTCTTCGAGATGGCCGCTGCTCAGCAACTCCCTTCCAGCTTGCGAGCCGCTCTTTCTTACTCTTTCGGCGTATGCTTATTGTTCTTCACTGCCTAAATCAGGGTTTTAAATTTACAGTCTTCCATTTTAGTGTGTTTATTACCTACAGGTTTTGGCTCTGAGAAGACCTTTCCTCCACAAAGTCCTTGACTTTGAAGATGAACTCTTTGCTTTTCTCATGCTTGTCCTTGAAACTCACAGTTTGCGAACCACAGGTAAATGCATATTATCGTTTTATTTATGCTTATTTGTTACAATGTTACTCGTCTGCTGATTTCGGATGTAATGATCAATTTGTTGCTGAGTAGTGGAACTGTGTGTTTATTATAGCTGATTTTGTCTTAGTTTTGGATCCTACCAGATGCATCATTTGCTGAGTCGTTGTATGGGCTAAGGAGGAGAGGTGTTAACATACAAATTACTAATGATAAGAAACGTTTGGAGTCAAGTGATGGAAGTCATCACTCTGGATTGGAGAAGCACCAAAAGATTCTTTCCGTTGCATTCCTTGTTAGTTGTAAACAAATTTATTCATTTTATATATTCACTCGAATCAGAGTTATAAACTAAGCAGAAAAAGGTAGACCAAACAGTGACATTGCCATATGAACTATTTATCACAAGTTCCACTAGCAGTGATATGAACTATTGCCTTTGTTTAGGTGATATTGCCATATCTTAGGTCAAAGCTTCATGCAGTATACAACAAAGAAAGGGAGGTTGCACTTCAAGCTAGTTTATGGGGTGAAGGTGATGACAGGTTTACCAACACGAACAATCTTGATACACTTGCATCTTCTTTTGTTTCTACAACAAATAGGTCTGATACTGAAGCAACATCACCAAGAGAACGCTTGAAAAAGAGAATTCGGAAGTGCATTGCTATTTGCTACCCATGGATACATGCAGGAAATGAAGGTCGGCCTAGGAAGCTCGATGTGGTTGATATGACTTGTGCTCTCTGCATCAAAAAAAAAGAAAGAATCTTGTTCTGAACATTTTTTATTCCGAGAAAAAAGAGTGCAAATTCATCAACAAGTTGCGAAAAAATATCCCCATTCATATCAAGTTTAAAAAAATAAGTCTGATTTATGGCAGTTGTACCTTACATAAAACTTTATGTTGGGGCACCAAAGTAGTGAAAGTTTAAGATTCAGTGTACATTTTTATTTCACATTTGGTTATGGTGAAATTAAGCCTGTTAACTAACTACTCTTTTTTAGGGCTTTCATTTGCTTACCAGCTATTATTTCTACTGGATGCTACTGGGTTCTACTCTATAGGATTGCATGCATTAGGCATTCAAGTTTGCCGAGCAACAGGACAGGAATTGGTACGCTACCGCAAGCAACTTATTAGGACCTCATATATTCTATGTAATAATCGTCTTTAGCTTTTATCAGAATCTGCATTTGCAATATGCCAAAATTATTATTTTTAACACCATCATCTGCCTCTTAGTTTATCTAAAATTTTGTCTTTTTAGTGGAGGATGGGAGGTGGTGAGTTTTAATCTTCTATTGTTTGGATTAATTAAAGAGGGGAGGGGGGAGATGGAAATAAGAAAATTATAAGAAATACACAAGTTTACCTTTTCGTGTATATCACTATATCGCCTTCAAGTTTTAAGATTTTGTTGTTTTCCATTGTCAAGTTAGATTGATACTTCTTCTAGAATTTCCAAGATAAGAAAGCATGAACGCGAGAGGCTCCGTGGCCCCCCTTGGCTAAAGGTATGCATTAAGTCTTCTTTGTTTTCAATACTGCATATTAAGTTCTCTGTTTTTACTACCGGATGTTGAGGATGTTACTCTGCTAAGGTTGCTCAGGAAGGAGACAGCCTTTTCTAACTTGCACTGTATTTTTGGCACGAACCTATAGTGTTAATTATATTTAGGAAAAATCGATAGTAATAATCCCAACTATTGACGGTCCGCTCATAATAATCCCAACTATCGATTATTTCAGAATATCCCAACTTTAGGTACCTTCCGCCAATAATGGTCCGATGTGACCGGCTATAAATAAATTCTAAAGTGCATTAGAAAAGATATATCAAGTAATCCCTATAAATAATCTCAACTTTTAGTTTTTACGCTTAATTCTATTTAAAATTCACTTGTTATAGGAGGTAATATCTACTCATGGACCATTATTGGCGGACGGTCTTATATTTATTGACACCAAATTTCATGCCTCTAACCTGATTAATTGGGATTAAGGTGTCGATGATGATTATTACTCCGTATAATATTATCATTCTTAGCGTATAAGTTGAAAGAGATATTTTTGTACCGCAGCTTCCTTGCCTGTTTTACCCTATTTGACATACACCCCTTATTATATTTTCTAAGAACATAAACCCAAAGCACCTCAAAGCTGGGTGCAAAGTCAAATAAAATATTAAAGTAAAACATGTGGTGCAATTGCGGTGTAAAAGTCTAATAGAGATGAACTATTCTGGAGTGCACTAAGGTGCGTCACCCATGTTCAAAGAAAACAAAAGATGATGGTGCAAAGTCAAATAATGAGGTCAAACATGGGCTACATACAACAATTTTCCCTTTCTATATCCTTGTGTGTTATCTGGTATTTGATTCTATCCTCTTAAAATTATCATGTCAGTTATGAATCTTAATCCTCTAAAGCAACATTTCAGAAAATACAAGGTGGGTTACTTGGTTTTGCATATGCTGCTCTTGACTATGCTCAAACTGGCCTAATTGCTGCAGTATTTTTCTTTAAAGTAAGTTTAGTCAACTCTTATAAAAATTTCAAATTATATGGTGTATTCTTTATATCTTTTTTCATATCCAATATTCTCTTTGCCTTTTTTGCATATAATGCTCAGATGATGGAGTGGTGGTATCAATCAGCTGAAGAGCGAATGTCAGCCCCGACCATTTATCCTCCTCCTCCACCACCACCAGCCCCAAAGGTGAGCAAGTGATAAGATAATTGAAACTAGTTATTCTTTCTCTGTTTATTTATCTATGAGTTGGTCTTATCTCTAAACAGGTCGCTAGAGATGGTATTCCTTTGCCTCCAGACAAGTCACTCTGCCCTCTGTGTTCACAAAAACGTGTTAACCCCTCTGTAGTGTCAGTTTCTGGATTTGTCTTTTGTTATACCTGCATATTTAAATATGTCTCTCAGGTAAAACTCTATTATTGCATTCTTTTCTTGACGAATACTACGTATCTAAGCTACTCCAAAGCAGGGGTTTAAATATGTATAAATAACTTGGTTCTATACTTTTATATGCAGTACAAGCGTTGTCCTGTTACACTTACTCCTGCAACCGTGGATCATATAAGGCGACTTTTTCACGATGTTTGAAAGTTTTGTCGAGTATGAACATCTGAGTTTAATCGAAGTCCAATTATATGCATTCCAAGGATATTGTTGTCGTTTGCAATTTTTAGTTTCTCTAACTCTGAAAAGTTATTATTTAAGAAATTTTGAGTTTGCACCCATGTTTACTTTTAAACTGAACATTGCACCCCATTTTAAAATCTTTTGAGTTAGGATGTGTTTACTTGGACTTTAATTTGTCCCAGAGCAGACCAGACCAGACTTGGATAGTTATAAAAATACAAAGAAACCAGACCAGACCAGCAAATTACAGTTCAAGTAAAAACATCCTTACACCTCAAAGTCCAATAACAGGGATGCAAATTCAAATAATAATCCGATGGGGTACAAAGTCTAAGAGAAATACTACACTTGGTACGTTTAGGTGCAAATTGAAATGATTTAAACCATGAAACACAGTCCAATTCCCAAGCAAATACAGGGATGCAGATTCAAATAATAATCCAATGGAGTACAAAATCTAGAGAAATACTCCACTTTTGGTACGTTAAGGTAGGGATGGACCCAACCGGTTCGAACCGGCACGGGAACTAGACCGGCCCGCTACTGTGCGGGCTTGGACCGGATCGGGCCTGGATGACTGGTTCCGAGCTTTAGCCCGGTTTGGGTGGGTCTGGCGGGCTGGACTCGAGCCTAGATTTTGATGAACCGGGCAACCGACCCGGTTCCTTTTTTGTTTTTTCAATTTTTCTTCTTTTCTTTGGGTAGGCGGGGTGTTTTGGGGGCGTTTGGGGGTGAGGGTGGGGGGGGGGTCAGGGGTTAATTAGAAAGCAAAAAAAAATTATACATTGGACCAGTCCGGTTTGGCCTGGACCCGGTATCAACCCGGACCGGTTTTGGGCCCAACATTCTGGAAAAAAAAAGCTCGGCTTGAACCGATCCGGAGCCTGACCCTTCCCTGGCTCAGTCCATGCCTACGTCTAGGTGCAAATTGAAATGATTTAAACCATGAAACACAAAGTCCAATTTCCAAGCAAATATAGGGATGCTGATTCAAATAATAATCCAATATAGTACAAAATCTAGAGAGATACTCCACTTTTGGTACGTTTAGTGCAAATTGAAATGATTTAAACCATGAAACACAAAGTCCAATTTCCAAGCAAGTATGGGGTGTGGATTCATAATGCATAACAATATTGCCAAGTGATTTTGAAGGGAAAGTACCTATCAAGCAGTGTTCTATAATGCAAGAAGGGAAAGTAGCTCACTGGGGTCTGGGGGCGTAGCTCACCTGCTAGAGAGGGTGTCACAAGGGAGAGGTATCGGGTTCGACTCAAAACAATGATTTGGGATGGAATCTCACTCCTTTTCATAGAATGTGATCAAAGCTCAACTTACATTCTTCTAGATAACTGTTCGGTCAGTGTTGGGGAGCTCTCAAGGATGGTGTGTCATCTTTTTTTTCTATGATGCAAGAAAAGGTGTCGCCTAAATGGGTCTAGGCACAATGCAACAGCAATAAGCCTTGCACACGTGCGAAAAGGTGACCTACTAGCTCATAATGACGTAAAAACGAAGTTTTTTTATTACCTGTAGTGTGAGGCCACAATGAATAAAGATACGGTGGACTATGGTGAAAAGCCATTGAGGCGTAAGTTACATGAAGAGAAGCAGAGAGTAACATATAGAAAAATCTGTAATTTAGAGATGGACTCGACCCAAGTTCACCATCAAGATTTGCTTCAACCAACTTAGCCAAACACAAGTTGTTCTTTACATAGTTATGGTGGTGGCGGTGGTGTGTCTACTGCGGTGGCTGCCGCTGCCTACTTCTCCACATGTTGGGGCAGTAGATATTTGATTCAAATGAATTGTTCCTACTCACTAGACATGAAGTTCCGTTCTAACATGTTCTTTACGTCAAATCGGTGTAACACAAATATTGAACGTGTTCCTTCTTCCTAAATCAAGTGATTCAAGTTAGACACCATGAATTTGATAAATGCATTAAACAAATTCTGAATGAGCTATCATAAATCATGAATGTGAAACCAACAATTAAATCACATAGAGTATTGATTCAGATAACATATTAAGATTCTAAGTATCGCTGTATCGCGATGAAAGGTTAGGCTAATAGGAGTATAGTAATACTATCATAAGATTGTATCTATATTAGCTAGATGTCGGTTACATGATAATAGTTAGAGTTGAATGCATTTCTTCATTATTGCTTTCTCTTTGTCTTAGTTGATCAATAAGTTTTTTTCGCACGATGAAAAAAAATATGACGACTTTAACGATGAATAAAAACTTCAAGCATGATCGAGCGGTGAACAACAATAACAATATTTTAGTATGACAAACTCTGTCTTATTGACGTGCAAATTTGTACATTTGTACCTTGTCTGTGCCGATTGTATGCAAGATATTTCAATTAATTTAATATTGTTACGCATGTATTTCAGAACTAACTGTCTTCATCTTAGACTTGGGAGAGTTATGTGTAGCGTATAAATTATTTTTCAGCCTCATTTTAGTTGTCTTACTTTCTTTTTGAGTTATCCCAAAATAGATGTTTTGTTTGGCAAATAATATGTGATTTATCATTTTAGTTTACTATAATCAAATTTCAACCATAGTTTTTATTTTTCAATAAGCTTTTATTAATAATTGTGTCAAACTAATGTCAAACTAAAAGAAGGCATTAAATATGGGATAGAGGTAGCATTATGTAAAGTAATTACTATGAACAATAATCGCGTGCACCATTGTCTTCTTCCAGAGATATAATAACTTGTTCACTCTTTTTTGGTAAGTTATTATTGTTTTACGTAGTACTCCGTATTATTTTATTTAAGATGACTAAATATGTACGTAGTACAATTCTGAGATTAAAACATACATAGCCTTATTCTTTAGGCATATCTTTGCTCTTTAATGCTATTTTGTTTTTCATATTTATTAAAATATAAATATGGTGGGAGATTTGAAACAATGGACCAAGGTTCGAATCCCCGCAACGACCGGGTGGAGGTCACAGAACCTGAAATAAGGCTGGGTCTCTGGTGCGCACGGGTGTATGGGCCTACTGCCATTCTGCTGACTGAGTCACTGTGACTAACCTCCCCACCATCCTGTCGAGTCGGGGTGGGGGCTCCTGGGGTGGGAGATTCCACCTTTTGGAACACACAAATTATACCGTGGGATCGGCCCACCTTCCGCATGGTGTGCCGATCCCACTTTTACAAGTTACGTTCCTTTTTAATCTTTCCTGGAATTTCTTCATTCCTTTTTCTTTTGTTATTTTTTCCTTATTTTTCTTTTCTTTAATTCTTCTCCATTTCCATCAAATTAAAATATTAAAAATTTAATTGTAGTTTTACTTTCCTTATCTTCAATTTAAATTATAATTGAATCTATTTTTTAATTCTTTATCAATACATAACAAAAAGTTTAATAATTTAAATAAAATAAGTACATCACATTTCATATTCATACACTGTTTTTTGTAATATCTTTTTTACATTCATACAATTTTTTGTAATATATTTTTTATATGCATACACTTTTTCTATAATATATTTTTTTATCACTTTTATATGTTTTTAGAGGTTTTTAAGATACTGAGTTTGTTTATTTTGCTTCTAACTTGGAGTTACATTTGATAATATATGAAGTTACATCATCTTATACTCCAGTTACAAGTTATTATGCGTGAGTTACATCTTGTTATGTGTGAGTTACATCTTCTTATACACGAGTTACATACTTTTACTCGCGAGTTACATGTAATTATGTGTGAGTTATATCTAATTATTTGTGATTTTTTACTTATCTTTATTTTGAACTAATTCAATTATAACTGAATTAATTTTTTTCTTCACCAATTTAATACAAAATTTTATTAATCCACATAAAATAAGTATATTGTATTTCATATTCATACACTAATTTTTACTTTGTATACTTTTTTTTATATTTATTATAAAAAAAATAAAATATTCCTAAACTCAAAATAAATAAAAAACGTAACACAAGTATATTGTATTTCATATTCATACACTTTTTTGTAAAATATTTTTTATATTCATATACTTTTTTCTATAATATATTTCTTATCTCTTTTATATGTTTTTTGTGTTTTATAGTCATTAAGGTTGTTTATTTCGAATTAAATTTGAAAAAAACATGAGAATAATGCATTTTTCGTATGTGTGAGTTATGTTTATAGACTATTTCTATAATTACATTTGATATTATATGGAGTTACATCTTCTTATGCACGATTTACATCTTCTTGTGCGTGAGTTACATCTTTCCATACGTGAGTTACATTTGAGTTTGCCTCAACAAGTTACATTTTGCATACACTAAAGTTAGATTTTCATTCAACGCGGGTTACATTTTCTGTAATATGAATTACATCACAACATAAAGCCTACTATTGCAACAAAAGAATCATTGTTATGCAAAAAAATCTGTTTTCCAAAAAAAATGTCTTTGGCACAAAATATATTTTTAAAAACATTTTTATAGACTTAATATTAAAAAAAAAATATTCAACATTTATGTTAACCCCTACTATTGAATAAAAAAATTACATTTTTTGCAAAAACAAAATGAGTTTTTGGCCAAAAAAATGATTTTTAATTTGGCAAAAAAAAGGTAAAAAAAAAATTATGTCCTTAATATTGAAAACAAAATATATAAACTATTTAAGTAAAGTAATTGAGCAATTAGACTCCTTTTAATCATTAAAATCAATGTTTTATTTCTTATAATTCGTATTAGTAAAGTTACATTTCAACTTGCTTGTTATTACATTTCTTATTAGCGTGAGTTACATTTTGTTACACGCGAGTTACACCTATTCCGCTACTGGGACAATGAAAAGACAAAAATGAAATTACTGTTCACGCGCGTGAACAGTAACACGCTTTTTTTTCTGTGGGAGCAGCATGCTCACCGTGGGCTGCTTCCACGGTATACGAACTGTTTGGAACAATATTTATTAAAATATAAGGGTATATTTTAAGAGGTAGTTAATATTACTTGTGGAACTCGTACACTTCCGAAGTGTCTTTTTCCCATTGTTTGCACACAAATCTATTTGCACAAGATTGTTTGTTAATCATGCCAATGAAGTTGACTTATCCAGGGCCGGTTCAA